TGACTCACAAAAATTGGAGAACTTATGTTTTATCGTTCTAGTCTTCCAAATGTTAGTGAGTTTTTAGACTTTTAATACTCCGTACTTTTAAGTCCTTTAGTTGCCCACACATTGGCTACTTTTTTGCATTTAAACTTTTTTTTGTTACTTTTTGTTTTCAATTATTAATTATTTTTTGTTTTTTGATAATTCTATATCTTTTATTTTAATTCAACTAGAATTTAAATATTTTGTATTAATTTTTTATTTATATAATCGTAACATTTTAGTATCTTAGTTATCAAATACTGGTATGAAGGCGGGACACTCGTTTTTATCCCAAGTACTACTAGTGAAATTCCGGGCTCGAAGCGGGGGCACATGCCCCACCTAGCCCCCCTTAGGTCCTCCACTGGATACACCTGAGAAAATTAATACTTCGAAACTCTTGATTCTTCACTAAACCGTTCCTGAAGTTGATAGGTCTGCATCTGACTATTCACAGTGTGGATTGTCTTCTAGGCTCCATAATTAATAAAGTGACTTCTTGATTTCTCTTTGTTTGATTTACATACATTCCACGTGTTAAGATCCTTCATAGACATGCAAGGTTGCTTCATTTAAGTTACTAGAGCTTATTACGGTAACTTATATTTTTATATATGCATGCATGTCATTCTAAAAGAAAAATAATTCACGTTTTTTTGCATTGTTGCTTCATTAAAATTGATCAATTAAGCTATTTTGTGCCTTTTTTACTGCATTTCTTATATAATTAAAACATTAAGGCTAAAGGGTCAAATAGGTACATGAACTAACTTAAAGTGTTCAATTAGCCCCTTATATAGGAGGTTCAGCCCAGCCATCGCCAATTGGAGAGGTTCCCGGTTGAATTTTTTGATTAAAGTTTTTGAGCATCTTCTTCATTAAGTCTAGTTTACTCATACCAAATTTCAGCTAAAAATTCAACCGGGAAGGTAGTCAAATGATTTTCCGAAATGTACTACGCTGTTTAACTGCGAAGTTATCTTCACAAAATCATTTAACTGCCTTCCCGATTGAATTTTTAGCTGAAATTTGGTATGGGTAAACTAGACTTAATGAAGAAGATGCTCAAAAAATTTCATCAAAAAATTCCACCGAGAATCGCCCCAATTGGCGACGGCCGGGCATAACCTCCTATATAAGGGGCTAATTGAACACTTTAAGTTGGTTCATGTACCTATTTGACCCTTTAGCCAAACATTAATTATGATTCAATAATAATCTCCACAAGTTCATATAAAAGGAAATAAAAAACACACTAGCTGTTTGATAATATCATTTATATGCCAAGATTACTTAATTGATCGCCTTCATGTTCGGTTTTAGGAATCACACTTCAGTTTTTCATTTCACTCAAAGATAGATTTTGATTGAGGCGTAAAATGGTCTTTTGTTTAATTTTCAGATCAATAACATGTTTTCAACCCGTGAGATATATTCAAACAAAAACAATTTGGTGCCCTTTGTAGACTTTAAGTGGGGGAATACCAGAATAAGGTTCTTTTTACTTGGACTGTAATTTGGTGGTCTGGTCTGGTCTGTTCTGGTCTGGTTTAGTCTGGTCTGAACTGGTCTGGTCTGGTCTGGTCTGGCCTGGCCTGGTTTCTTTGTATTTTTATAACTATCCAAGTCTGGTCTGGTCTGGTCTGATTTGGTCTGGTCTGTCTGGGACAAATTACAGTCCAAGTAAAAAGATCCTAAAATAGCTAAATTGAATTATATAAACTAAAAAGTATAAAACAACATGTTATATTGAAAATGCATTTGAAAGGAGATCGACCTCATCATTTGACAATCAAAAGCACAAAACATAACAATGCTTATTTATTTAATTAGGAATGAAATGATTTTCATCCCCTTTAAGCTGAGGGGGGAATCCCCCGTCCCCTTTTTAATGTCCCGTTTTATCATATTAGGATGTCTCTATTTAATTGTCTCATACCTTATTTGTTAAAATTTGTGTGGCTCAAAATCATTCTTACTTTATTATTACTTTATCAATTAATATTAACCACACAAATCCACTTTTCTTAAAATTCGTGCCACTCTCTTCCGTCCCAATAAAAAAGGGACGTATGTAGTAGCTAATACGAAGTATAAACTAAAAGAAGTATATAACTGAATGTTACAAAGTATATACTATACAGTATATAATAAACTAATAAATGTTAGTCCGTTTAGTGATTGTTTTACGCTCACATAATCACCTTAACATATTACCTTTTGATGTTTGATGCTCCAGTATTAAAGATGTATTTCAAATCCTTAATTCACAAGTTACATATGATATATATTTTAAATATAATAAAGTGGATTACTTTGTTGATATGGTTAGATAATTCCTCTTGCATGCATGTTATCGAATTTAATTGCACTACTATTTCATCTTTTGGATTTTGATAGCATTCTATTTTCCAATTTGCAGAATGGTATATTATATAACTCCTAAAATATACATTATGTTGAAAACATTCTACAAAATTCATTAAAAAAATGAGTGTTGGGCATATGACATTCGCGCAACGCGCGGTCGATTTTCTAGTTATATAACTATAATTGTAACTTTAATTATAGATGTAATTATAAGTAATTATAACTGCAATTATAATTACAATTATAATTATATTTATGATTTTAGTTATTCCATACTCCGTATAATAATAATAATAATAATAATAATAATAATAATTATAACATAATTATTATATTTAATTATATTATTATAATATAATAATTATTATTATATTATACTGATAATAATAATAATAATAATAATAATAATAATAAAATAATAATAATAATTATAATTATAATTATTATAATATAATAATAATACTTATTATTATATAATAATAATAAGTCTTATTATTATTATAAATTATAAGAATATAATAATAATTATTATTATACTATTATATTATAATAGTAATAATAATAATAATAATAATAATAATAATAATAATAATAATAATAATAATAATAATAATAATAATAATAATAATAATAATAATAATAATAATAATAATACTAGTAGTAATACTAATAATAGTAATAATATAATAATTATTAATATTATTACAATTATTATAATAATAAAGTGATAAATCTGATTTGAATGTTTCTAATCTGATCTGATCTGAATGTTTCTGATCTGATCTGAATGTATTTTATCTGGTCTGATCTGATCTGAATCTTTCTGATCTGAATAAAATAAGAATACGCAATAAGTAATAAGAATAAGACGAAGAGAACAACTTTTTCGTATTGACATGCATTGCTCAATTAAATAGTTTTCACGTGTTTAAGACTTTAAGTCTGATCAGCCCCGGAATCTGGTTGCCCTCCGAATCAATGCCTTTGGTCATTAAATAAGAACAAGCCTTTAATTTAGCTTTATTTTCGTATTAATTAATTTTCTCAAAAATCCAATCACGCACAATCACATTTATTTATTTAATTTATTTTTTAATCGTTGAGTTTATTATTACTTGATTCACTTTTTTCGTTCATGTGGAGACGATACTCGTGCTTTATCCCTATACTGCAACATATTGACGACATTTTACACACATTATCCCTATACTGCTACATATTCAATACAGTTCAATGACATATTGGTCACTGGCTCCGTATGGTCATTGACGGAGTAGGTGTCATTGTAACTGCATAGAATATTATGTCACTGTCACTGGGCAAGGCATAAATGTAATATAAATCTCATTTTCGAAAACCTTTAAAATTGATTCTGTTTTTGGTGGGAATCCCATTTAAATCTGGAAAACTTGAGAAAGGAAAATTGAAAAACATGTTTACCGTCCTGTCATAATCTAAAATTGAAAAATAGAAACATGTTTCTGATTTTGTTCTTAAGTTGGATAACTCACTTTTTGGTGTTTTTCGAATTGGAAATATGCAGCATAATTCTGCGTCTTGTATTTGTTTCACGCTGAGGTATTCGAGTGTGGTAACTTTTGCTTTTTAAAACCGCATATTTTTTCGAGATCTATGCTACGGCGTATTTTCAACAATATGTTTTATTTAATAAATTAGGATGATCAATTTTCACGTTTTTAGTGTTTTATAACTTACTTTTAGGTATCATAGTTTTCCCAAAATAAATAAGTTCTAATCCTAATTCTGATTCATAGATCATAAAAAACACGTGACTTCAAAAAAAGTGTCACTAGTGTTATGTACTCAAACATGTTATGAAACAACACTTGGTTTAAAAATACGTTTTTAATACTAACTCTGATCCATAATTTTTATGTAAAATTGTGTATTTGTTTTGAAGACAATGTAGTCTCTTATTAAAAAATGTCACTTATTAAGTCATGTTCGTAGATTATCATTTATGTATACGTTTTGTCTTATTTCAAATGTTTCTAATCATGAGTATTTTATTTTGTATTATACACAAATATTGATTTATTAACGATGTCAGATAATATTTGTTATTTTTTTAGGTCTTCAACTTTATCAAGTTTCAATTTCTCAATACATATACTTAATTAATGATTTTAAACATTGAAATGGAAAGAAAAGAATATTTGAAAAAACATATGTTCAAATTTGGAAAAGGAAAATAAAAGGCAGAAAAAGAAAAACAGAAAATTGAAGAAAATAAGTAAACGAACTTCATTTATTTTTTTGAAGAGTGATTTTATTTATTATTAAAAATAGAAATGAAATTTGGAAAAACAAGGGGTGTTAGGATCTGATTCTTAAAACTACTTCTGCTCCTTCAAAGAGCAGAAGCTGGAGTGTTTGGGTGAAAGTGCAGAAGTGATTTTGGTGCTCAAATTTACTCCTAGAATAAGTTTTTTAGAAGTTAGTGGTGACCAGCTTCTGAAAACTGATTCTGATTCTGCTTCTATTTTAAAAAAGAAGTAGAAGCAGAATCAGTTCCAAATAGCCCCAAGTGAGAATACTTTTCACAAAACTGTCATTTCTACGAAATACAAGTATTTGAATCCCGAACTGTGTGGAACTTGGCAGAACAAGGAATGGAAAGCTGTAGAACATTTTTGGAAGCTCCACGAAAGTACTGGTTTCATCATCGTCTCCCTCCTATATAAACGACACTCATCCGCCTCCGATCAAGCATCGGAAGAAGTCTGTTCATTTAACTCTCAGCGAAGCTATCAGAATAGCCGTTTGGTTGATAATTTGATATCTCATTGAGTCGATAGAAACATAATGTCTCTGATTCCAAGCATCTTTGGTGGTCGCCGGAGCAACGCCTTCGATCCCTTCTCTCTCGATATCTGGGACCCCTTCGAAGGATTCCCGATCCCTAACGCCGTCGCCAACGCTGGAGCCTCGGCGAGCGAGACGGCGGCGTTCGTGAACACGCGCATCGACTGGAAGGAGACGCCGGAGGCTCACGTGTTCAAGGCGGATCTGCCGGGGCTGAAGAAGGAGGAGGTGAAGGTGGAGGTGGAGGAAGGGCGAGTGCTTCAGATCAGCGGAGAGAGGAGCAGAGAGAATGAGGAGAAGAAGGACAAGTGGCATCGGGTGGAGCGGAGCAGCGGGAAGTTCCTGCGGAGGTTCCAGCTGCCGGAGAATGCGAAAATCGAACAGGTGAAGGCGTCCATGGAGAATGGTGTGCTCACTGTGACTGTTCCTAAGGAGGAAGTGAAGAAACCTGAGATCAAATCCATTGAAATCTCTGGTTAGACCCTTCAATTTGTGTGGGGTTTCGGTAGTAATTGTTGGTTTTGATTGTTATTATCAACTAAAATGAGTGTCCGTTTGTTTGTATTGATCATTTCTCCCTAGTCTGGCGATGGCTATGTAAAATTTTCGTCTGTGCAGAGTTGCACATTATCGGATCATCAATAAGAATTGCATTTTCTTCATTGCTCTGCTTGAGTGCTTTCCCACGCTACCAAACCAAAATATACTCTATTAAGAAAAATCTTGACCATGTATTCATAAACAGCACAGTATCACAAAGTCCGCCATGGAATGGAACCTGTAGCAGGACCAAAACAAAGCAAGTTCCATCCTGTCAGCCACTGGTGAAGGATTTTTCGCAGCACATTGATCTTCTATAGAATGTAATTTCTGGGCTTGATATTAAAGACTTGGAGCGTTTTTGGTAGAACGTAAAATAATTACTTATTTTACTTTTCACAAAGTGAAGAGGTTTACACCGCCGGGTTCGAACTCTGAACTTGGTAATAACTGATAACCATCTATCTATATATAAAAAGATCTATCTATATATAAAAAGAAGTGGATTTTCAGTCACTTTTCTCACCCAAAACACCAAATTAAATTTGGGTCGGGTCAGGTATTGATGTGCAGCATACCGGATATAAGCAGAGCTCTTTGTCCATTGGAAATCAATGGGTTCTCAGTTCAGTGCTCAATGTCTTTTAATGACAACCAGCCTAGGACACGGCATTGATTAAAACAAAAAATGGAGTCTTTACGTACTGGCCATACTGCTGTTTGTAATTTGAGGTAAAATTGGAAACACGTTTCCTCCCCAAAAAAACAGAGGTAATTAGAAATTCGGTTGGAGCATTTTTAATTTAAACGATCCACATATTGAAAGATTTCTTAGAAATGGAAAGCGGAAGAATTCATCTATTATTCATTTAAGAAGAAGATACAGATCATCCTTTCTCTTATACAAAGTCTTAGAGTATTTAACCGAGTAACAAACTCTAACAAACTCAATAAAAGAAAATGAAAAAGAAAATACATTTTGACTGTTGACCAGTTTGACTATTGACTATATTATCCTAATACCCCCTCTCAAGATGGACTATGAATATTCATAAGTCCAAGCTTGGATAGATTTTCTTGAAATGTAGCAGGATATAAGGCTTTTGTAAACAAATCAGCTAGTTGAGACTTAGATGGAACATGAGACAGCAGTATCAATCCTTCTTGAATCTTGGTGCGTATGAGATGACAATCAACCTCTATGTGTTTTGTTCTTTCATGAAAAGAGGGATTCTTAGCTAGTTGAATAGCAGATTGATTGTCTGAGAATGTGCAGTAAGGAGTAGAGATTGTCAAGTTTAGATCATTACAAAGATATTTAATCCACTGTAGTTCACAAACAAGAGAGGCTAGAGCTCTATATTCAGCCTCAGTGGAACTTCTTGACACTGTTGTTTGCTTTTTGGCTTTCCATGAAATCAAGGATGTCCAAATAAAAACGCAGTAACCGGTTATAGATTTCCTGCTATCAGGACAAGTTGCCCAATCAGAATCTGAAAAAGCTTGAATTTTAAGATCATTGTTTGCTGCATAATACAAACCAAGTCCTGGAGACCCTTTTAAGTATCTAAGAATACGTAAGGCAGCTTGCACGTGTGGAGTTCTTGGGCTGGAAACAAACTGACTAATCTGTTGTACTGCAAATGCTATGTCGGGTCTAGTATTGGTCAAATACAGAAGTCTTCCAATTAATCTTCTAAAGGAGGTGGGATCTGAAAGTAATTCTCCATCATCTGCACTCAGTTTGACAGAAGCATTTGAAGGGGAAGAAGCTGGTTTGCATCCTGTCAACCCAAATTCAAAAATAATTTCCAAGCAGTATTTTCTCTGATTGAGAATTAACCCAGCTTTTTGGACCTAGCAACTTCAAAACCTAGGAAGAACTTTAAATCTCCAAGATCTTTAATATGAAATTGGTTATGAAGATGTGTTTTAACCATGTTTATTTCTTCCAAATTATTCCCAGTAAGAACAACATCATCCACATAAACCAATAAGGCAGTAAAAGATGAATCAGATTTCTTGAGGAATAAAGAATAATCTGAAATACTTTGAGTATATCCAAGCTGAATGAGTGAAGAAGTAAGCTTTTGATTCCATTGTCTGCTAGCCTGTTTTAAGCCATAAAAGGACTTTTGTAGTTTACAAACTAAACATGATTTGGGAGGTAGAAAACCAGGAGGTGGCTTCATATATACCTCCTCATTGAGGTCACCATGTAGAAAAACATTATCTACATCTAGTTGTTGGAGATGCCAATTCTTAGATACAGCAATGGATAAAAGAAATCTGACTGCAGTAATCTTAGCCACTGGAGAGAAAGTTTCAAAGAAATCAACCCCTTCTGTTTGTGTGTATCCTTGAGCCACCAATCTAGCTTTATATCTCTCTATACTACCATCTGCCTTGTGTTTGACTTTATAGACCCACCTACTACCTACAACAGGCTTTCCTGGAGGTGGTGAAACCAATGACCAGGTCCGATTTGCTTCTAAGGCTTCAATTTCGTTATCATAGCCCTTTTCCAACAATCCGATTTCATAGCTTCTTTGAAAGATTTGGGTTCAGAAATGGCAGAAATGGATAGACAAAAGGAAGTATGTTTGGAAGAACACTTAGAGTAAGAAAGATATGAATGCAAGGGATAGGGTGATGATGTTGAAATATTTCCACAGTAATAGTCAGACAAATATGAAGGTGGTTTAATATTTCTTGTTGATGTCCTCTTGGGAATTCCAGTGTCTGATGAGTTTTGATCAGCTGTTTCAGTTTCATGGATAGTGGAAGAAGATGGTTGATTGACAGAGGTAAAGTATTGATGAAAATCCAGACTTTGATTAGAAATGTCAGTGTCAATTAAAGAATCAAAGTTTGAATAAGAAACTGGAGACTGAGTGTAGTCATCAATCTGACTTTGGTCTAGAGCAAAAGGAAAAGTTGTTTCATAAAAAATAACATTTCTAGACACAAGAATAGAGTGAGAATGAAGATTGAAAAGCAAGAAACCTTTGGTTCCAGCTTTGTATCCAAGAAAAATACATTTGGAAGCTCTTTTATCAAACTTAGTTCTGCCAGCATTCAGAGTATTAGCAAATGCCAGACAACCAAAGGTTTTCAGATTAGAGAAATCTGGCAAGTTTCCAAATACCATCTCATATGGAGATTTATTTTGTAAGAAGGGTGTTGGTAATCTATTTATGATGTAAATAGAGTGTCTTATGGCATGAGCCCAGAAATATAGGGGAAGTTTGGATTGAAAAAGGAGACCTCTGGCAATGTTTAATAGGGGCGGGCAAGAATCCCGGTCCCGTTGTCCCATTCCAGTATATCCCGAAACCGCACCGGTCCCGTACCGGTTTAAAACGGGACGGGACCGGGACATTGGAAGGTTATCCCGAACCGTCCCGTTGTCCCGTTTGTAATAACTATATAGATTTTGTAGCATGTGACTAGTGTGTAATGTCAACTCAAAAAATAAATGGTAACATGTTTTTAGTTCTTCAAGCCCAATTTTTTAATTAAAAATAATACCTAACATACATATTTACTAACATAGATTTTTATCCCACTTTGTATATCTACATATGAGTATCTCACAGCTAGAACACATGATTTTGAATAAACTAATTCATTTTTGCTTTGTTTTAAATTTAAATTTCAAATTTTGCTAAACCTAACTAAAATCTAATACGTAGTAGCTTTTAACTTGTGATGAACATCAATTAACTTTTAAAATGTTAATATTTTGGTGCATGATACTTTAGAAATGCTAATATATATTAATTACAAATGATTATTTTTTGTTAGTTTGGGACGTCTCGAACCGTCCCGAACCGTTCCGAACCATCCCGGTCCCGATTTAAATGGGACAAGACTAGGACAAAGGCTTGTCCCGTACCGTCCCGTCCCGTTATTATTAATTGGGACGGGACCGGGATAACCCTAATCCCGAACCGTCCCGACCCATGCCCACCCCTAATGTTTAAGATGTGTTGATGTTTTCTTTCAACAATGCCATTTTGCTGAGGAGTTTCAGGATAGGAAGTTTCATGAAAGATTCCATGTTGCTGAAAAAAATCTTTGAGAAAGAATTCTTTCCCATTGTCAGATCTTAGCTTTTTAAGTTTTGTTGAGAATTGATTTTGGATAAGAAGAATGAAACTGGGAAGAACTGTTTGAACTTCATATTTAGTTTTGAGTAAATAAACCCAAGTAAATCTGCTAAAATCATCCACTACAGTTAAAAAGAATATGTATCCTTCAAAGGAAGGAATACTATATGGTCCCCAAATATCAACATGGATCATCTCAAAAAATGAAATTGAAATGCTATTACTGAGAGGAAAGGAAAGCTTCTTTTGTTTAGCATAATGACAAGCATCACAAGGTTGTAAGTAAGAAGAAGAAATGTCATTATACTTAGAATTCTGAATTTTCAACACTTTATTTGAAGAATGACCAAGTCTGTTGTGCCATATCATTGAATTATTAACAGCATTTACAAGAGAATTCTCAGAAACAGTACTTTTTAAAACAGTAGAAGTACTATCTAGAAGACTAAGTGAAAGAGAATCTGAAAAGCAATTGATCTTTCCCAAGGCACTGAATTCCTTCAAATGAAAAAGTCCATTGTACATTTCAGCTACTTCAATCCTCTTGAAATTGGAGTTCTGCACAATGAAACACATGTTAGAAGAGAAGAGAAGGAAGCAAGGAATGGTTTTGAGTAACTTGGAGATAGAAATCAGTTGTACAGAAAAAGTTGGAATATATAGGACATCTCTAAGAAATAGGTTTCCTAATTGAATATTGCCAGAATGGGAAGCAACAATGGAACTATTGTTAGGCAATCTAACATGAATAGGTTTGATTTCTTTAAGAGATAGAAAAGATGACTTACTGGAACAAATGTGGTCTGTGGCACCACTATCTAGAATCCAGGTGGAAGGAAGAAAATTACCTGAACTCTCATTTCTGAATTGTTCAATGTGATTGACAGAAGATGAATGAGGACTGAATTTGGTTTGTTGAAGCAAAGCTATAATAGCATTATATTGATCCTTTGAAAGAGTGAACTGATCATTATTATCACCATTAACCGAGGAAGAATGTTGTGGGGCAGTATTTGTGTCTACTTCAGCCAAACTTGCAGATGGTTGAAAAACAGAAGAATTGTTCCTCCCACGAGTCTTATACCCAGCTGGAAAACCATGCTTATGATAGCATGTCTCAATGGTATGATTTGTCTTTCCACAGTGAGTACACAACTTGTTTCCTTTCCCAGTAAATCTGTTATTGATATTGCTGCTCTTAAAATTGCTTTGTGTGGTTTTTGGAATGAAAGTTTGATTGACACTTTCTTTTGAGTTGATGAAAGCAACAGTGTCAGCAGGTGAAGTCAGGATAGGATCACCAACAAATTCTCTCTCATGTTGAAGAACAAGATTGAAAATCTTGATAATTGAAGGCATATGATCAAGTATCATGAGTTGAGATCGAATTGGAGCATATGTGTCATTCAAACCACGCAAAAACCTAATTATACAATCATCTTCTCTTTCTTTCTTAAGTTTCTTAATCAAATCACAAGAGCAAGGTGTAGCACAAGTACAGAGAAGATTGCATCGATACAGTTCCAATTCCTTCCACAAAATATTTAAGCGAGTATAGTATTCGGAGACTGTTGATATACCTTGTTTGCAGGTTTGAATCTGATCTTGAAGATCTGCAATGCGAAATTTATCAGCATGTGAGAAACGTTCTTGAATATCTTTCCATATTTCTGAAGCTGTATCCATCCACATTACAGATTGCTTGATAGAAGGATTCATAGAGCGAATCAGCCATGACATCACCATGCGATTGCATCGCTTCCAAGCTTCTGACAAAGGATCTGAACTCGGTGGGCAAGGAAGAGTTCCGAAGATGAATTTCTCTTTGTTTTTGGATTCCAGCGCAACAACCATATCTCGTTTCCATTGATGATAGTTATTCTCACTCAAAGGTGGAGTAACAAGAACAATAGCTGGATTCTCTCCAGGATGAAGAAAGTAAGGATTCGAAGGATTGACAACGTGATCTGGTTGAGACATAATCGCTGATGATTATGCGGAAGAGAAAAGAGATGATACCATGAAAGATTTCTTAGAAATGGAAAGCGGAAGAATTCATCTATTATTCATTTAAGAAGAAGATACAGATCATCCTTTCTCTTATACAAAGTCTTAGAGTATTTAACCGAGTAACAAACTCTAACAAACTCAATAAAAGAAAATGAAAAAAGAAAATACATTTTGACTGTTGACCAGTTTGACTATTGACTATATTATCCTAATACATATTCTTTGCGCAAAAAAAATCTAGCACCTCAAGCCAGTAAAATCTTATAGTTTGATTGAATTGAACCTCACGTTTCAGCCCTATCTTCTTCGGCAGCCCGTCGGCTTCAGGCTTCAACAAATATCTTCATTTTCTTCATTTCTTCAGACTTTAATTTTGGCGATTCAAACGGTTGCTTTACTTCTCTTTCCGGTCAATTTGTTTACTTTATCAATAAAAGAAGTTTGCAAATTCCAAAATAGTAATTCCATATTTTTATTTCCAAAAAAGGACTAATTACTGCCATTTTGTGGCAGTACCAGACTTCAAACATGACAATATTTTCCAAATTTGACAGTAATTAGTCCTATTTTAGGAATAAAAACATGGCTGCCCTATTTTGGAATTTTCAAACTTTTTTTGACCTATTTCGGGAACTTTCACATAAAAGAATACTCACTAGAATAGTTCGATAGCAGGTCGGCGGACGGTGGTTTTACCCAAAATAGGACAAACAGTTTGAAAATTCCAAAATAGGACTTCCATGTTTTTATTCCCGAAATTGGACTAATTACTGTCATGTTTTGGCAGTACCAGACTTTAAACATGGCAGTATTTTCCAAGTTTGGCAGTAATTAGTCCTATTTTGGGAATAAAAACATGACAGTCCTATTTTGGAATTTTCAAACTTTTTTAGTCCTATTTCGGGAACTTTCCCTTCATTTTTTTGATAAATAAATACTGAGTGCATTTTTTAAGTTTTGAAGAATGAAAAATGTTAATTTAAAAAAAAGTTCACAGTATCATCGGTATCTACGGAGTAGTTCGTATTTTTTTAGTAGTGGCCTACAAGTGAAATTTGTTTAATCTATTGAAAAAGAAGATAATAAGTAATAAAATTAAGATTTTCAAAAAAAAGTAATAAAATTCAGGATAATTGATTATTTTTAAAGAAGAAATTTATCAAAAAGAGAAATATAACAAACTTTTAAATACATCCGAAAAAGAAAAGTGTAATAAACTTCAAAATATGAAAGGAGTATTTAAATATTTAAAAACGATCAAATTTAGATGTTTTCTTTTGGACTGTTTTCAGTCCAAGACCAGATTATATTAGACCCGACTTTCGTAGTTATAACATACACAGAGACTAGACGTTTACCAGACCATATTAGTTCAGACCAGATCAGACCAGACCAGACCAACAAATTTCAATCCAAAAGGAAGCATCCTTACACGGAAGTGAAATACATGCTAGAATAAAAGACACTAGCTTTCTATTTATGAAGTTTAGATTTTCTATATTTCATATGCATTACTCCGTATTAATTATTTAACAAATTCTTTTATAGTATTGATTTTTATATAGTTCTCATACTATTAAGAAATTAGTCGCTTAAACAAAATGTAAATTTGTAAATTATACGAAGTAAATCAACTTCTCACTATTTATCCCGCGCACCGGGTGAAAATCTAGTTTCGCAGTACAACCGTTCTTAGACAAGTATTGGAAACAAATAGGATACTTTTAAATGGGATATTCACTTTTAACCCACAAATATGCATACAAATATAAGTGTTATGTGTAGATTTTGGATGAAAAGAAAAGGAGTCTTAGAATTGAAAAATGTGAGGGCCTGTTTATTAACAGAGATATTTTCTGGTTTTTTACTTCTGTTTTTTGTTCTCCAATTTTTTGTTTTTATTTTTCAGTTTTTCTATCTCCAATTTTCTGTTTTTTTTAGTTTTCCATTTTCAAATCTGAAAACATGTTCATCAATTTTTTCACCCAGTTCTCCAATTCCACACCCTTGACCCCTACCCCTACCCTTACCACGATCTTACACTCTACCCATACTCCCCCACTACCCTTCATACCCACCCATACCTACTTGTAGGTGTCGGGGTAGTGGGTAGGGGTGGGGTAAGGGGTATGGTTGGGGTGGGGTGGTAAGGTCTAGGGGTAGGAGGTTGGGTGGGGGTAGTGGGTGGGTTAGGGTTAGGGGTGGGCACAAAAAACCGTAACCGTGTAACCGTCTAAAAAAACCGTATAACCGTCCAGTTAACCGTACCATTTTTAAAACAAAATTGCGGTTCAGTTAATCGATGAAATGAAAAAAATCCCATGGTCGGTTCACCGTTAACCGATGAAATGTAATTGGTTTACCCTATGAAGCACGGATACTTCCCCAGGGTAGCGTATCGGCGTATCCGATACGTTCCCGTATCCGATACTCTAGGATACCGTACCGTACGTTCCCGGGCCGTATTTGCAATTTTTAAAAGTTTCCATTTTTTTTTTGTAATTTTTTGAAAGTTTCCGATACTCGTATCCTGACGGATACCCGTATCAACATTTTAAAAAAAAAAATCCCAAAATTTACTTAATAAAATTCTAAAAAAAATGAAAAACTAAAACTACATTTTACTTGGTAATCAAATAATGGGCCTATATGGCTATATCCGAATTAAGTCATTAACTCATACTCCGAATTGGGTACTTGCACTTTTAATTTCAAGATTGTAGTTGTTTGACTTATTTCTCATTTTAAATTAATGACTTATTGACTACATTTATATTTCGAGATGCACTAGTGTATATGAGAAATATTATGAATTTATTACTAAGTATCTTGAAAAAGGAAAATGCTTCAATGCAATGAATGGGTAGACATCATAGGATATTATATGTATATATATATTTAAAAAAAATACTATTTTTAATATTTATAAATAGACCCCTATAACTTTTAATATTTGTAGATACACCCCCATAACTTTTAATATTTATAAATATGGCCCCGTATCCGTATCCTACTTTTTTTTGGTTTTGACGTATCGCGTACCCGTTTCCAAGTTTCCCCGTTTCCGCGTACCGGTATCGATCCATCCCGTATCCACTATCGAGGACTACAGGTACGACGCTCTCTACCAGGTCCAGAGCTCCATTTGTAAAAAACGATGTCTTTCTTCTTCCATCTTTGTCTAGAGCCGCCGACCTGATCTATCAGGGCCATCGATCTCTTCCGCTCCAAACAGGTGTTTCATCCTCCGCCGCTCGACCAACGGAAAACGAAGCCGGCGATTTGATTTAGTTTAGGCGAGCTCTTCTGCTACATATCCAGGTATTTCATCCTCCATTTTTCACATTCAATATTTGATTCGATCCCCTTGAATTATACAGATCTATTTGTGACCCCTTCTATTTGACGAAGTGTGCAATTTTTCTAGTTCGTAAGGTCGTAGGGTCGTAGGGATATCTGTTTTAGTTAGAAGCTGATTGTTAGGAGTAAAGGCAAGCAATTACCTACACGTTCCACCAAGCTAGGATGAATGGTGATGTTTCAAATGATTTAACATATAATTATTTTACTACGTATAAAGAGTTTACATGCAAGCAAAGGAGATTTAAGGGAAAGGGCTACCAAGTGTTTACTAAAATGTGTTAGAAAAATAGTATTTAGATGGCGAGTTTTGGCAGATAAAATCCCGAGTTTAATCACAAATCACCAGACAAACCACCAAATGCAAGAACGAATAAAATAACAACAATAATTAGATACGAAATATTAATATAAAAGATAGAGAAAGAATGACTTAGCGTAAGATCGCCCGTTAACCGGACTGGCCTTGAAGAAAGATAGCCCCCGTATCTCGATAGCTACTCGAACGGGACTGGCCAACTCGCTCCCAGGATAATCCTACCTCTGTTTCAGTCCTCTAGCTTGCTTGACAGAAACACTTCGACCGTTGCCCAATTGCCGATTAAAAGAGATGAGCCGGAAAAGAAGTGAAATATGAACTATGGAAATACTTCGTATATAATTACTTCTCTCAGAAAAGAACTAAGCTATATCTCGAAAACCAGAAGAGAATTGAAAGGGTCACTAATTAGAACGAAGAGATGGTTCGTGTATCTAAATTGAATGGATAAGCTAGTGGGTTCAAATACTTCTGTACGTGGGTTTAATAATGAGAGCATGCAGCGGATTATTTTGCTTCGGAAATCAGATAAGTATAATATACCAAACAATTGGTCAAGAAAATGTTTAACCGCTCCTATAAATCTGCCGCCACGATCCATGCATGATGACCGGATCCAATTAACTAAGTATGACCAAGACAAGCACTTTAAATTTTGAATTCAAATGCACGTCCATATCTATACTTAGTCAGCAACATTATTTGTGTGCAATTAAACATTTCGTAGGCTCCTTTTTAAATTCATTTCAGAATTTTTGTCCCCAAAATAAATTGGCTTTTTATTATTATATGATACTTAAATATTATTCCTTATCATATAAAAGTACCATTTATTTTAAACATTGAACAATAAATTCACCAAACTAATACATTACATTTACAACCTTTACAACTATGGATTCTAGTCATATTTCCAACAATCCCCCACAAATCCATAGTTGTTGGCTCAACTCTAAAAGATATAATGTGCTTTCGAATATGGTACCTTCCGGTTTGAACCAACTTCTAAGCTTTTACCCCTAACCCCCACAGGAACTGAGTGAACAGAGTTCTTGAACTCGAACCTTGATAGTGTTGGCGTGGGATAAAAGCAACACATTAATGGCAATGGCAACGATCTATAGGGTTGACGGTTTACGGCCGTGCGTCCCGATCCTGTCTCAAGAATGTCATCGAGAATTAACCCCTATTCTCTAATTGCGGCCACACAATAACATTCTCATAGCTGGGCATCTCCAAGAGTGCATTGCTAACACTGCTATAAAAAGCTCGATCCCATTCAGAGTCTTTAACTCTTACTAACTTAGCAATTTCAGCATCTCTCAGGCTTATCAAGGAATAGAACTCATTAAATATTTTAATGAGATGCACAATTCACTCCACAGTTTGTTTATACCACATTGAACCTACTTTGTGGGATCTCCACTCAGATAGGTTGGGTTGCTACCGTAGTTGAATAATTGTTGGGTTTCAGTCCCATTCCTAACCTGGATTTTATCACTTGATTTAAATCAAGTCCTTTTGTTAACGGGTCCGCTGTATTATCTTTGGATCCAACAAAATCAACCGCAAACACCCCTTGAGACACAAATTTCCTTATAGTCTTTAATCTAACTTGAATGTGTCTCCTAGTCTTTTGATTATACTTGGTACTCCTAATTTTTGCAATTGTGCTCATACTATCACAATGCAAACAAATAGGTGGAATTGGCTTGCTAAATATTGGTAACTCAGACATTAATCCCATAAACCATTCAGCCATAATCCCAGTAGTATCCAACGCACACAATTTAGCCTCAAAAGTAGACCGAGAAAGTATTGTTTGTTTAGTGGACTTCCAGGCAACGGCCCCACCACCAAACGTAAACACATAACCGGTACATCCATAACTCCCGGAGTTCTTAGCTATCCAGCTTGCATCACTATATCCCTCAAGAACAGGAGGATATTTACCATAATGCAAACACAAGGAAATAGTTCCTTTTAAGTATCTAAATACTCTATCTAAGGCCTCCCAATGAGTTCTGTTTGGACAACAAGTGTACCGGCTCAACTTAGACACTGAAAATACAATATCAGGTCTAGTACAGTTAGCTAAGTAACCCAAGCTACCAATCATCTGAGAATATCTTAATTGAGACACAGGAACACCACTTTCATTTTTATACAAAGCTACTGAAGGATCATAGGGTGTTTTAGCAATTCTACTATTTTTAAATCCAAATTTCTCAATTAATTTTTCAATATAATGCGACTGAGAAATAGAAATTCCTTCGATTGATCTAGTCAACTTTAGCCCAAGAATTACTTCAGCCACACCCATATCCTTCATTTCAAACTTTGTTTTTAAAAATGACTTTGTCTCAAAAATAATATTATCATTAGTGCCAAATAATAATATATCATCAACATATAGGCATAAAATAATACTAATATCACCTTTACATTTATAATAAACACTTTGATCAGCATCTATAAGAGTAAATCCAAACGAAAGAATTATTTTATCAAATTTTTCGTTCCATTGCTTAGGGGCTTGCTTAAGTCCATATAGAGACTTAACTAATTTACAAACTTTTCTCTCATTTCCTTTTGCCACAAATCCTTCAGGCTGGTCCATATAAATTTCTTCTTCAAGGTCACCATGAAGAAAAGCTGTCTTAACATCCATTTGATGAATTTTAAGACCATATACGGAGGCCATTGCTATAAGCATTCTAATTGTGGTCATTCTTGCAACCGGAGCATATGTATCGAAAAAATCAATACCTTCTTTTTGTTTGTAACCCTTGGCAACTAATCTGGCCTTAAATTTATCAATGGTTCCATCTGGTTTTAATTTCTTCTTAAAAATCCATTTACACCCAATAGTAGTACACCCGGGAGGAAGATCAACGAGCTCCCATGTTCCATTTTGAACAATGGAGTCCATTTCACTTTTAATGGCATCCTTCCAATGCATGGCTTCGGAAGTAGCCATTGCATCTCTAAAGGAAACTGGATCACCCTCAATATTGTAAGTGATAAAATCACTTCCAAATTCCTTAGTGATCCTAGCCCGTTTGCTCCTTCTAGGCTCATCTAGTTCATTTGATTCAAAACTAGCGAGACTAGTACTACTAGATTCTACCCCCACATTTGTCATCTTTTCCACTTGATCAGGAATTGAATTAAATGTGGTTTCTTGATTTTTAAAAGAAATATTTTGGGGGACACCCGTTTTCATTGGGAAAACATTTTCAAAGAAAGTAGCATCACGAAGTTCTATAATAGTATTAACATCTATGCCAGAAATTTCAGATTTAATAACCAAAAATCTCAATGCATAAGAATGTTCAACATAACCAATAAAAATAGCATCAACAGTTTTAGGCCCAAGTTTCTTTCTTTTGTGTTCAGGGACTAATACTTTTGCAAGACAGCCCCACACTTTAAAGTATTTTAAACTTGGTTTTCTGCCTATCAAGAGTTCAAATGGACACTTATCTTTATGTTTCATGGGAATCCTGTTCAGAATATGGCAGGCCGTATTCAAGGCTTCCCCCCACATAAACTTAGGTAATCCAGAATTCTCTAATAAACTGTTAATCATATCTTTAAAAGTTCTATTTTTCCGTTCAGCTACTCCATTTGATTGTGGTGAATAAGGAGGTGTTTCTTCATGTACTATACCATATTTTTGGCATTCTAGTACAACTAAATTAGAAGTGTACTCTCCTCCCCTATCAGATCTTAACCTTTTAATTTTCTTGCCGGTTTGATTCTCCATTTCATTCTTAAAAATTAAGAATTTTTCAAGAGCTTCATCTTTACCCTTAAGTAGATACACATAACAGTATTTAAAATAATCATCAATAAAAGTGATAAAGTATTTCTTCTTGTCACGATTCAACACTCCATTAAACTCACAAATGTCGGTATGAATTAAATCAAGTAATTCAGAATTTCTATCAATTGAATGATATGGTTTTCTTACTTGTTTTGTAGTAGCACATACCATACATTTCTTAGTTTTATCAATAGAGTGTTTAGGAATTAAATTTAAATTCATCATTCTTTTTACAGAATCTAAATTAACGTGACCCAAACGATAATGCCATAAAGTTGAAGAATCACAATTCTCAGATACATAATTTAATTCAAAATAATCAACCACAATCTTAAAAAGTCCATCCGACAAGTAACCCTTGCCAATAAAAAGTCCACCAAATAAAATTACAACTTTATTAAATTTAAAAGATAACTCATAACCCTCCCTAACTAGAATGGAACCACTAACAATGTTCCTTCTAATTTCGGGAACGTGATGCACTCCATGCAAAGTAAGTATTTTTCCCGAAGGAAATTTTATTTCTACTTTTCCAACTCCATGCACACTAGCAGCACTTGTGTTTCCCATCATCACTGTTCTTCCAACTGCAGGCTGATAAGAAACAAAGAGCGATTTATCAGCACATACATGCACATTCGCTCCTGTATCTATTAGCCACTCATTGGAATTATATATAGTGAAAACTTGAGAGTTAATAGAAACATACCCATCGGAACTAGTTCCTCCAGTCACCACGTTGACTTGAGGTCCACCAGATTGAGCCTTAGCCTTTTTATTTGGGCATAATTTGGCCCAATGCCCCATCTGTCCACAGTTCCAGCATGGCCGGTTTGCCTTTGGTTTCTTTGCAATTTTTAATTTGGCCTTTATTGGTTTAAAAGATGATGGTTGTTTATTTTTAGAATTTTGTGACTGCTTTCCCCCGGTTACAATATGAGCCTTTGGCTGAAATTCAACAGGCACAATATAACCCGCTTTCTTATGTTCTTCCTCGACAGTAATGGAATGCATCAAACTTTTCCAAGTTATCTTTTTCATTTTGTGTTTTAAAGTCAAACCAAAATCTTCCCACGATTTGGGGAATTTTTCAATTACAGCCATGACTTTAAATTTTTCAGGCAATTCCATATCTGCTTCACGGAGAGAATGTAAGATAAGCTCAAATTCTTGTGTTTGTTCTAAAACTGATTTTCCCTCTTTCATGTCGGATCTCAAGAATTTGGAAACAATATACTTTTCTAGATCGTGGTCATCAGTATTATATTTCCTATCCAACTCATCCCAAAGGTCTTTAGCCGTGCCGTGGAGGGTGCAATAGACATCAAATAACATGTCGGAGAGTCCCAACAATATCATTCCTTTGGCTATTTCATTCCTCTCACGCCATAAAGTTTGGCGTTCAAGACTTTTGGGATCAGACTCGACAACGGGGGGACACACCGTCATAATTACCGAGAGCAATCCCTTGGTGATTAACCAAATTTTCATGCGTTGTTGCCAACGCTTGAAAAAATGCCCGGAAAATTTTTCCGGCATTCCGGTCAAATCAACCCAGTGAGAGCCCGTAGCAACAAATTCAGTTGTGTCTCCAGAATTAGTCACAAACACAGAATTAACATTATTTTCAGGGGTTTCATTCACATTATTCTCAACAACAACGTTTTCAGAAGTAGCAGCATTTTCCAAGTTCGTCATATTGGATTTTCAAAACTCGAGATATAATATCTTTCTTCAAGACTGTTAGAAAAATAGTATTTAGATGGCGAGTTTTGGCAGATAAAATCCCGAGTTTAATCACAAATCACCAGACAAACCACCAAATGCAAGAACGAATAAAATAACAACAATAATTAGATACGAAATATTAATATAAAAGATAGAGAAAGAATGACTTAGCGTAAGATCGCCCGTTAACCGGACTGGCCTTGAAGAAAGATAGCCCCCGTATCTCGATAGCTACTCGAACGGGACTGGCCAACTCGCTCCCAGGATAATCCTACCTCTGTTTCAGTCCTCTAGCTTGCTTGACAGAAACACTTCGACCGTTGCCCAATTGCCGATTAAAAGAGATGAGCCGGAAAAGAAGTGAAATATGAACTATGGAAATACTTCGTATATAATTACTTCTCTCAGAAAAGAACTAAGCTATATCTCGAAAACCAGAAGAGAATTGAAAGGGTCACTAATTAGAACGAAGAGATGGTTCGTGTATCTAAATTGAATGGATAAGCTAGTGGGTTCAAATACTTCTGTACGTGGGTTTAATAATGAGAGCATGCAGCGGATTATTTTGCTTCGGAAATCAGATAAGTATAATATACCAAACAATTGGTCAAGAAAATGTTTAACCGCTCCTATAAATCTGCCGCCACGATCCATGCATGATGACCGGATCCAATTAACTAAGTATGACCAAGACAAGCACTTTAAATTTTGAATTCAAATGCACGTCCATATCTATACTTAGTCAGCAACATTATTTGTGTGCAATTAAACATTTCGTAGGCTCCTTTCATCATGGTCGCACCGAAAAGCACAACCACAACGAGATTGCATTGGTATTTTGGCACAAGTTCTCAAGTCAAACTGCTTGGCAGGTTTCGACAATGATCCTTCCGCGGATTCCCTTAGTAACGGCGAGCGAACCGGTCATTTCAGAATTTTTGTCCCCAAAATTAAATGGCTTTTATTATTATATGATACTTAAATATTATTCCATATCATATAAAAGTACCATTTATTTTAAACATTGGACAATAAATTCACCAAACTAATACATTACATTTACAACCTTTACAACTATGGATTCTAGTCATTAAATGAAATAGAACCAAACATGTAAGTTGTTCTTTAATGTATATTAAGCCACTTCCAATTCATATATATTATACCATTATTTATTTCATCATATTTCCAACAAAATGTCTAATAGATATTTTGGGATGATAATACTAATTAAGTTTCATAGGATGAATCTACAAAGGATTTATTAAAAGAAACTCTATGCCTAAATAATCAATAACCATAAATTCAGAAATCAAGAAACGTGTGTTTTTAAGCAACATATTTTGAGGTCTTAAGGTTTCTTAGTAGTTTAGTTTTACTAATGCATATATGGGCAAGTTACAATGTGTATGTCTTTTTCTCCTCCACCTCCTGCTAGTATTATATGTTTCTCTTAGGATGTATTTGAGAGTGTATTTCCAATTGCACTTTTTTGACTTGACACTCAACCTTCCAATTGAAAATTTAGCATTTGGAATGGTCTATGACATGTTTCGCTTCAATCACAATTCAACTGAACGAATATTTGTAGTTCGTTGCATTGGAGCAGTGGGCTGCTCCTATCTCTCCCAAATGCACACTTAGTTTTATTTCCATTTTCTTATCTCAAAATGTTTCTATTTTAATTTGATGAACCTGGCTTTTGCCTTTAGATGCCTTTTCTTTATTGTTTACATCTGGAGTGGGTCACTTGTCTGTGCAGAAAAATATGTTCTCAGTTGCTTGTCTCAGTAGCTGTCCTAACAAATATGTTCTTTATGGGTATTCTTAGGAATTGGAACTGGAATTATGAATATCTAGTTTCATGCTATGAAAATTAGAATGTTATGATAGTCAAGGGACTTGAAACGTGAAACTGGACTATAAAAATGAGAATGCTATGACAGTCCAAGGACCCCATTCAAACAGCGGTTTTCCGTTTTCATTTCCCTATTAATTAGTTTATATTTGTATGTCGGCATATACTAGCTTGGTATTAAAAGTATGTCCATTTTTTCTTGCAAATAGTATGGGGAGGTTTTGGCATGCAGCAGGAGGGGACAGAAGTTGATGGAGTTCTTGAAGTTGGGAGTTGGGCATGAGTAGTTATAGTTATATTCTGATAAAAGAAGAGCAAATTTAAAGATTGTCTCAAAAATTCTAAAAGTGGATTTCAAGTGAGTTTAGCTTCTAGAATTAGTTTGTTTTAAACGAGTTATGTTTTTCAATAATCACTTTCTCTGTTTTTATTCATTTCATGTACAACAATGCAATAGATATTTATTTTTTATCAGCTGCCAACTTTTAATATGTCACTTTTATTTTTGAAGGAAATGAAACAAATCTTGAAGTTGAAGACGTGTGTTGTTGTTAGGACCCAACTATGATGATTTTGATGATGCCACTATACTTTGCACTAGTATTTTGTGTCTAAGTTAATTCGTGCATTATTGCTTAAAAGTGAACAAGAATAATGAACAACTAACTGGAACACAAAATGCAATAAGGTAATAACTTTTACCTTAATAGGATTTGTTATCCTACCAGTTAAGTTGTCCACAGTACCTGCTAAACTACACAAGTACTTAAAAGTGACAAGAATTCTAATGTACAAACTGTGTATCAGATTAAACATACTGGAACCATAAAATGCAATAAGGTAAAAATTATTTACCTTACATGGATATTTAGATCCAACCAGTATAGCTTTAATTTGGTATATAAGTTTAATCATGTCACTTAAAGAAAGAAAGTGATTAGTAAAATAAGTGACAAATTTTACTGTAAAATTTGTACCAAATAAATTGTACTGGAAAGAACAAAATGCAATAAGGTAATCCTATTACCTTAATAGGATATTTCAAAGATCCTACCAGTACAAAACTTATTTGATACAAAATATTCTAAGTCACACATTTTACTACTTCACTACACAAATTGAGCAGGTTCACGCACTCGGCTTTACAAGTGTAGTTGCAAGACAAGGCCAATACACTCAGAACGCAAGAGGAGAGAAGACATCTGATTAGGTGAATAGTGAAGAGTTTCAGAATAGGCATGCAGCGATAAGAAGGCCTAAGGTATGGGTGTTATCTTCGTACAAAGCAAGTGGTCTTCAAAAGACAAATCCTTATCCTGCTCCAACACAAGAAGACGCAAGTACAATACTTTGGACGTCTAGGATTAAATCCTCTTAACCAACGGAGGAGATTAATCTACCGGAGATGCCTATAAAAATAGGCAGAAGCATGAGATCAAAGGTAAGTCATTGAGTTCAAAGCAAGTGGTTCAGTCATTACACTACGCATATCCAGCAAAGGAAAAAGTGCTTGAACACTGCTTTGACTCATGCTTCACTAAGCTCTTAGACTAGATCATTCATTGTAACATTTATAGAGCTTAGGTTTTAGTTGGCGGTTAGACACTACGTGAATCAATTCATGTTGTTGTAAACACTTAGGAGAACAGTTGTTCGGATCCTATAGTGTGGTTGGATAGATAGAGTACCTTTTGATCCCCACTGGATCAATTGAGAAAAGTCTAAGGACTGAGTAACTTTGAGTGGTGTTATACTCATCGTGAAAAACCTTCAATCTAGGCCAGAGTTGTCAAGGCTAGATTGGCACTAATTGTATTGGGCTGAATACTTTAGTGGAAATCCATCTGAAATAGGGTGGGACTGGATGTAGGAGGATTACACCACCTCTGAACCAGGATATATCGTGTGTTGATTTACTTTCATACATACAGAAGCACACACCAAACACATCTCACTAAAGGATTGTAGTTTGCCAGCAGCATCCTAAGCAGTAGTCTTCATCGACTGTACTGCTTAGCCTACTGCTTAATAGCTCACTCTCCTTGAGAGTATTTTCCACTAGAAGTTATCTTACACTCAGAAGGTGCCTCAGCAGTACCCTGGTCTTCACCCTCCTGCTGAGCCCACTGCCCATTTATATGTGTCTTTCCGAACGCCATAACAAGCCAGAACAAAAAGCCATCCAAAAGTCATCCTGTTCTTAACAGTTGCCTCAGCAGTAACCTGCCCACCAGTCGACTGCCAACTCAGCAGTTGCCTGCCAGTCAGCAAACTGCCTGTGCAGCAGTAGACTAAGCAGTTATCTGCTCACCAGTCTACTGCCAAGCCTACTTCCTCTTGTCACCAGTCTAAACATCATCTAAACTAGAAAGTTGTCTCACACCAAGTATAAAGAGGTTAAAGACTTCCGCTGTGCATCTATTAATCTCTTAAAAGATTATAGATCAACTCATCTAGAGGGAAAACTTCACAAAGTTGAATAAGATTTTAAAAGTCTATTCACCCCCCCCCCCCCCCCTCTAGACTTTTACCTCTATCCGGGACCATCAAGTGGTATCAGAGCAGTGTGTTCCTAGAGTCAAGTTCTGACTATTTTTGAACTAAAGATCCAAATCCACTTTTATCCCAAAACTTTCTAAATAATGGATGAACAACAAGCAAAGAATCTGTTGATCAACAGCAACAAATCCAATGACTGGAAAACAAAGGATGTATGGGATGAACTCACGGAGAGTCAATCAGAAGATGATCAAAGCAGCTCAAATGATGAAAGCTGCTCATCAGAAAGGCAGGAGGAGGCTATTACTTGCTTCTTTGGAATGACTCCAGAAAATAGCTCCTCTCACAACTATGATATGGCCAGATCCTATGAAGGTGACAATGATAAGTTGCTCTAAGCACAAGACAAGGAGCAGAAGGCCACTGACAAACTGTTCAAAGGAAGAACCCAAAGAAACACTTGCAGAAGAAGAAAAGAGAAGAAGATATCAAAGGAGTTGGAGATTCAATCAAATGAAGAACTTACAAACCAATACACACCTTGTGTTGAGGTTTTAAAGTTCAATCAAATGCACAAACCAACTCCAGATCAACTGTTACATCTTCCTCAAGAGATGTAACTGTGCTTAAAGAAAGATGAAGGAAGGACCACCTAGGTGATGGAAGAAGAATAGCTGAGACCATCTCAAGAAGGTGACTCAAATGCCAGACTACTGCTAGCAAAAGACTCAGACTGAGACAACTGCCAGCAGTAGGATCAGATCAAGCAGGATCATCACCTAAATTGAAGCTCCAAATCTTCAAAGTCTATCTGAGGAAAGTAATGAGAAAGAGGAAGAAAGGCAGCTGCTCAAATACTCTGGAGGGAACAAACTTAGAATACTTAAAGATCCCAAAAATTAATGGTGCATCAACTTAGGGGGAACCTAATTCAAAATATCTTGATCATCAGAAGCATTATCTAAGGGGGAATGCTTTCTAAAGTAACGAAGGAATAAAGCCACAAGATCCAAAAGAAGAAGGTTCAGCAGAGGTCTCCGCAGAGGTCTCTGCCGAAACACTTATAGCAGAAGAAGGCTTAAAAATCAGCAGCAGGCTCGCACTTGGTATGTATAAACTGAATATACTCAAAGCAGTTTTCTGCTTTTCCGGGTGTAAATGCAATCAAGGCCATGCGTAAATAACCGACTTCTCCAACGGTTATAATAA